TTATATAATAAATAGTTTTAATTAATTAAATGTGATTTTATTTCGATATTAATGATAAGTCTCTTGAACTCGAGATTTTTGCTGCAATTTTTGTTCAATTTTCAATTTATTTGTTTTAAAATTATAATCCAAACAACACTTTAATATGAAGTGTTATTTTATCCCGAGATAGAGAATAGGCCTAAAAGTTAGATAATAGTTAAACATAAGTTATATATAGTTTTGTATAGCGAAGGCCTGTCTGTCATATTATATGGAATATCACAATAAGAGAGAAAACACTATATTTTCCAATAAATCACATCAAAAAAGAAATGATTGAAATGAAAAGTAGAGCCAAAACTCACTTTAATATTAAGGTTCTGTGAAATATATGATTGCTTTTTCTACTATAAGTGAAGGCGAGAGAGAGAGAGAGAGAGAGAGAGAGAGAGAGAGAGACATATTTTTTATGTGAAAACTTATATCTATAATAATAATATTGTAAACGCATAGAAGAAAATAAGTATTATATTAAAAGTTAGAAAAATATATCATATATTTTGTTATGATTTCTGTTTCAGTCTCTCACCAAAACATAAGAAAACTTTGCCTCAAATTAAATGAAAGTCAAGTAAAGAGAAAAGTGAAACAAATTCTTGGGAGAAAATTCCTTTCACACAATTTTGTGCCGTATTTTCCACTTTAAATTCAATTCTCATAACAAAAAAAACAGTTTTTTATATTAAATGTTTCACTATTTTTGTTGTGCGATAGAGAAGAAGACAAGTTAGAGAAGAGAGGAGAGAGACATATAATACGAAAATCTATATTCGCGTCCAAAATAAACTAAAATAACACCGAAATACTGGGCGATCATTGCCTGTGTGTTGTCTATGCCATCGCTCTGGGAGTTTAAGACCTCCACAGATATAAAGCCAACACAAAAGAAACACTTCATCCCTTTCGTCGATAAAGAAATTTATATTAATTTAGACCCAAAATAGAGTGTATATAAAAAATAAGATGAAATAAATAAACATTTTCAATGTGTTTAAAAATCTCTTTATTTGTTTGCTTTTTTTAAAGACACTATAAAAATATATATAATTTGTTACAAAAAACTGAATGAAAGAATTTGTTATATATTTTCCTTTTACACAAATAGTATGGTTTGAATAGAAAATAAAATATTGATTTCAATGCATATATTATTCACAAAAATTAAATGCATTTTTAATGTCTTTTTTTGTCACAATTGATGAGAAGAGAGACTAAGAGAGTGAGAGAAGTATAGAACTCTATGTTGGCGTTAATTACATACTTATATATAATTCATGCATTTGTTTAATATAGAAAATAGTAAAAAATCATTTATTCATATATGAAAAACGAGAGGAAACACAATAATATATATTTATGTATTTGTATATATCGTATGTATAAAAGACTAATTATAAACGATAATAAAGCAAATAATAGCCGCACAAAACCCCTATTGGACTCTAAGGAACTCTATATGTAATCATAAAATTGGTCCAAAAATAAGATAATAGTAATCATTATAATAATGGAAATAAAGTGGAGTATATTTTTCTGTTACATAAGTTTTTATATGACTTTTGTATTTCACTTATGCTTTCCTTCTCCCACTCAATGAGCGAAAGAATTGCAAAAATACTTTTAGTAATTATTTTGTGGATTCAAATGTAATTATCATTAGGAAAACCAAAGACCGAAAGTATAAATAAAGTCATTGAGTTTTTCGTTGTCTGTCTTCACCACAAAATAATTCAAACATTAAAATCGCTATTAATATGAAGAGATGGGGGAAAAAGCCGGACATTAATACTGTTTTGTGATGTAATGTGTAGTCACTAATGGTAACTACAAAAAGCACCGTTAAGTTTATGTAAATTATAGTATAATTTTTGCTATAATTATAATTTTTAAATCATTTACTCAATAATAACCATTTAATGTCTGTATTTTTGCGTATATTTTAATTAATAATATTCTCATTTTGTTATATAATATGTTCTCATTTTTGTATAATATTTTCATATATTTATAACATATATTTGAATAGAAATTTGTTTCCCAAAAATTATAATTAAAATTCTTCATAACATTTATATTAAAGAGTAAATCCTTAAAAATTCAAAATACATTTCTCTGACAGTGTTTTCAAGATTTAATGTTTAGATATCAGTATAATTAGAAAAATTGCTCTAAATTTTACAGCGATTTATGCTTTTGGAAGAACAGCTTATGGACTATAAGTGCATTTTGGAGTCACTTGTCTTTTTGGTAATCATATATACACTGTTATATATCTGTGTGTCTATTATATAACTAGAATAAATATACATTTATATTTATATATATTTAGTATTTTATAAATATATTTTCATATCATTTAATTCTCACATAACTGTAAGTTTGATGTAATATAAAGTTTTTTTGGCAGCACTTATGACACGTCGCGAGCGTATAGAGTGTGTGTTTGTCAGTCACTGCGAGAGTAAACTCGTCGACGAGAAAAATAATATTAATATCATTACAATTCATATCCAATACTATTAGCTGAGAATACAATACAATTTGATTTGCTTTTCACAACACATTTGTTTCCATCAAAAATCAATAAATAAATAGCAACACAACCGATAGAGATGTCCATTAAATTCAATCTCTAAAATAAAACTATAATAATAACGGCGTCGGAAACACACGAAATGAAATTACTGTTAACAACACACGATCGACGAGAAAAATATATAAAATATATGTATTGTGTTTTGCCTTTTAATCCCATAAACAGTTTTTCCTGAACGGCGAGTGAAATTGAAAGTCTCGACACTTGCGACACGTTTTAATACCGCACCGATAGGTCTGCAGTTTGGATGTATTGCCGTCTTTGGTCTTGCAGTACTTGAGAGCGCACGGATACCACGCGACACACATCTGCAGGTGACAAACACACGGATCCGTTTCCGTCTCACTCATCACTGGACAACTTTGGACGGGTGTAGAGGCGGCCGACTTGTGCACAGACGATGTCAACGCTATTATGTCCCGATTCACGACTGCAGCAGACATTTCATGTCAATGAAGAGCACATGAGAAGAGAGGGGGAGAGAGAGAAAGAGATGTGAATATAATAATAGTTATGTCATTATGATGTTATATCGGGTATGAAAGATATAATATGTTTGTATATTAACGGCAGTCATACAGAAGAGTACACTAAACAGATAAGCCATAGGAATAGCCAGCAGTTATTGAGTTGATTCAAACTCTAATGTATATAGAGTTAAGGGTAAGAGTTATAGTTATAGTGTAAACGACAGCGAAAACAATATGTTATGTTTCGACTAAAATAATATTTATATTAATAATTATAGACTTTTATTATTAGTTTGACTCTCTATTGGCTATAAATGGATGGGAGAACAGAGGCTGAAGAAGTAGTAGGAGATGACTACTAGTTGTGTGCAAACCATATATCAATAATTACCTCCAGTGTTGGCCCAAAATCGTAAATCGATTTCTCGAGTGAACGTTTGGTTCGCGGCCTCTGAACACAGTTTTGGCAAATGTTGTGATATTATGGAAGACTTGTCGAGAACTATATTCAGATCCATTTCCAGCAATTCTTTGCCCTTATCTTCTTCTGGTTGACGAATAGCTCCGGGATTTCGCTATACGTTTCGCCCATTCAAAGGGAGGAGAATATTATTGTTAATAATACAGAAAATTTGACAACTTTTTGGGTCAGTAAATGCCATTCAATACACAAATTGTTTATCGCTATCTCACTTAACAATCAGTCAATTATTGGGTTCTCTCTCTCCTTTCGGGGACACAATTCCTAATCAATTGCTTCATTTGACAGACAATTGTATTAACAGATATGATAGACATTGAGGACAAAACAAATGGATCGACAGTTCAATCAAACATCATATAATGGAGAGAGAGAGAGAGAGAGAGAGAGAGAGCAGTTAAATAATTTTATAATTTAATAATATTTCCGATAAATTGTAATCTTTTGTGTTAAACACACATAAATTTATTTTTATTTTAAACGTTAAATTAAGTTCTATTTAGTTATTTATATAATGAAAATATAACTTTTATTTAGTGTTTGTGTTGTTGGGAGAAGTTTTCTGACACTAACGATATTCAGCATAGAATTGGGGGTAAAAACGAAAACTGTTTTTTCACATTTCAAAAGCCCTTTTCAAAAGTGTGTAATTCATCAAAAGTATGATTGGGAGGGATTAGTGTTATATAACAAGTGGTTTTGTATTTAAATTGAATGTTATTTTGTGAGACTATTGTAAACGGCATACAAAAGAGCAGTTTTTACTCTCATTGTTAAGTGAGTTATATATAAAAATCTGTGCATTTGTGATGAAAGTGTTACAGCATTTATATCTCATTTTAATAGCATTTTTGAAAGTTTGATAAACTTTTCCTTTATGTAGAAATAAATGCATATTTTCTTTATTCCCGTTTTCACAGGAGTTTTATTCAAAAAATTGGTATTTCACATATTTTACAGCAAATTATAATACAGCATTATCTGTTTTTTACTGTATATCAATATGTTTAAAGATAATTTGTTTAAAATTAAATAAGTCTTAATCGTCTTTTATTTTTGATCTCTCTCTCTCTCTCTCTCTCTCTCTCTCATAAAACAAATCTTAAATAATATGTAAAACAAAAAGAAATTCCAATAGATTTTTGTCACGAAATTACATAAAAAATTGTGTATTATAAAATTATTTAACTGGTCTCTCTCTCTCTCTCTCTCTCTCTCTCTCCTTTATAATCAATACATATAAAATACTTTAGGGCTTAAGTTAGGAGACCTTAGGAGTTTTACAATCGACTCAAAACACAACTAACTATTAATTTTAAGAGAAAAAATCTGTCGACTGATTATACTGTAGATGAGATTTTTGAGAGAGAGTTCTTCTTTTGGTGTGTTTTTTACATTTTCTTTGCTTTTTTCCGATAATATCTTTTAAATAAATTATTAAAAGATAGACATCTATTAACTAAAAGATACGGCAATCTTAGGGATTATATTATTACTCCTCTCTCTCTCTCTCTCTTTCTCTCTCTCTCTCTCTCTCTCTCTCTCTCCTCTTTTAATAAATTTTGCAGACATTTTTGTGTCGATTATAATCACTAATTATCGAATAATTAATTGGAGGTTTCCGTAAAATATTAGTTTCAAAAATTTTAATAAAACAACAAAAATGTTTGAAGAAATTAATGAATTTTATCACTCATTCATTAAATAATTTCTTTTTGTTAAAATAAAATTTAAAAATACGTCAAATCTAATTGAGACTATATTCAGTGGATAAAAACTAGCATGGTAAAAAATATTCGTTTATGGGATTAAGATATTTACAACTTATTTTTACCTTATATTATGTAAAAACAATAAGAGCATGTAAGTAAGAAAATTGTTTTAACATCAAATAAGAAAACGTTAAATTTATTCAATTTGCGAAATCATTTGACACTCACTTTTGCAGATATACTGATAATCGGTATCTGTTTTTGTTGTTTATACAGTATTTGATGAATTGTAACCCCCGGTCACTAAAAACAATAATGATTTGATTTATGGATACGTTTACCCCTTCACTCTCAGTCAAAGCAGTCAAGTGTTTGATTTCAATTATTTGTGACATTATTTTTAATTAATTGCCAATTAGTTGACAAATTTGGACACATTTTGCATAAATTACACACAAAATATGATTATTCGCTTCAATATACGGATCGCAAAACGACTCATATATTAAACAAATTTACATTAAAACTGAAAATATTCTTATAAATGCCTGCCATGTCTTCAAAGGGTTCGGGATCTGTCCCTCTGAGGGTATCTCAAACATCTGCCATATGACGTGATTTTTAATATATATTTGTTTGTCTATTAATATGTAAATTCGTTGCCTTTTAAATGACATTTCCTATATATAACTCTTCTTCTCCGGTGATAATTGAGCACTAATTTAGTTAACAAACAGCCCTTAACTCCCATTAGAAATAAGTCAAATACTGTAGTTTTTGATGCGACAAATATATGCTTTCAAAAATATTTTTAGTTTTATAAATTGGTTGTTTTGATAGTTTGATGACAATTATGTGTTTTCTACAGCAAACAACTCTTATACCAGTAATCAATGGGTTCTGTGTTTGATATAATATGTGTTAATAAACAGATCCTGTTTTAACACTCAATACTTATTTCTATAAATCAAAACATTTTTTTCTAAATATTAGTTTTAATTTTGTTGAGAGAAACGCGAAAATTGTAATTAAATGTAACTTATTTTTGCACCACATTATGAGTTCATAATAATTTAGTGATATTTTAATAATTTTTGAAATTTACAATTAAATATGGAATAACAAGGACTGAATTGTAATTGATGTGTATTATTATATACTTTACATGTGTATGAGTTAATGTATACATATTTATATTTTATGTAGATTCATAACGTATTAAGAATTTCAATATAACAAATGTTTTTTTTAATTAAAAATAAAATATAATGTTTGTTTCCCTTTTCCTGATCTTCAGTAATACTAAAAATATGTGACAAAACAAAATGTTTGACATAAGAAAACCGTTTATAACAAATGAGTTGTAAATATTGTTAACAAATGTCGAAACAAATTTCATGCAAATATCCGATTCATTACAAGTGGGAAAACAATACAAATGTTGTAACAAAAAAAAATAATACATATTAATTGAGTTTATATATACTTTATAATGCATTTCTCATTTGTAATAATTGCTTAAAGATTAAAAGCCATTGAATGAATAAAATAAAAGTAATCACAGTTTTTAGTGTCTAAAGAGCACATTAAGTTCATTCAAATTATTTAACTGTTGTTTTAAATTAATGTAATTTTTGGTGAAGTCTTAGAACCCCTTTGAGCACAGAATTAATTTATGAACAAATGTATCATTTAATTGATGTCATTATAATAAATGAGAGAAGAAATTACAGAAAATAGTGTATATTTATCCGTATATATCATCGCAAACTACAGACACAGACAGACAGTCAAGTGATGGCCAGAGGGAAGGGTTAGCCCCGGAAAACAATTCTACGGCTCAATGGTTAACATAATGTTTATATTTTAACTTCAAAATTAAATGTCTATATTTGCAATCAATACGTTTGAAGGAGTTTTAAAATGCCTTTAAATGGCCAATTTTTACCGTAATTTTATGTGCAATAAAATTAATTATTACTTTTAAAAGTATATTATTTGAAGCGCTTTGTGTATAATTGAAATGTATTTTTAATATCCTTTTATTGCTAATATATTGCTATTTAATTCAATTTTTAATATTTATTGCTTTCCATTGTATTTAAATATGTTTTTAACATGTTTTTTAAGCATGACTTGTAATTTATAAAGTAGTTATATTGTATCAAACATTTCTGTGTTTAGCCTTTATTTTTGGGCATTAGAAAAGCGCTCTTATATTTAATATAATATTTGATATCCTTTTCATAACATACAGTAGTTATTGGTGTATATTATGCAACACATCATAGAGATCTCAGTTGCGATACTATTCAGTATTACCGGTAATATAAGTTATATAACATATATTTGTTTCTTACTTTTTATTTCTTATAAACTTATAACGGAATCAAATTCCTCAAAGGTTTTCATGTATTCAATAGTTTATAAACAGATTACAAGTTATTTCATACGATATATCATACGATCGATTAATTAAAAGCCCATAACAAAAGCTATTATACGGAATTTTGTTTTACTTTTTATTGTTTTAATCGCCAAGAATTACAACGAAAAAGTGATTTAAATAATGGCATAATTCTTGTGTATTATTATGCCATAAATGAACGAATAATTGGAGAATTTTATACCCGTATTCTTGTTGTTGTTTTTGGGATAAATATTTTATTTATTATTTTTTGTCATAAAATTTATGTGCGAAACATATCTAACAATTACATTACATTACAATTATTGTCTCACAGAGAGAATCATCTCAATTAGGATGTGATAAATGGGTTTTCATGCGAGCATTCAAATTATGGCAAAAATCATTTGTATATAAAAAATGTCATAAAAAATAACAACTCGTATTCAAATGATTACACAATTATACATAAAATAGAGTGCAAAAGAAATTAAGGAATAATGTATTAAAACATTTCTGTGAATGCATTTCGCATATCATATGAGAGGAGGAAATACTTATCCATTCATATACTTAATAATCATAAAATACGGCATCTCTTTAGACATAAGTTATAATTTGTGTTGAATTTACTTTAAATGTTGATTAGATATTTCGTTAACTGTTTTTTATTTGATAATTAATTAGTACTTCTGGTAATAATAATGATAATAATGTTAAACCGTTTTGTTTTAAAACGATATTTTTAGTTTAGCAAAACATACTATGAATATTGAACTAAAATATAAATTATGTGTAATATTAATATGAAATGCTGTATACAATGTAATGCTTTATATAAATAGGAGATCAATCAAAATTAAAAACGTTTATATCTTTCAGGTATGTTTCGATCGCCACAAATGCTAATTTCAAAGAGTTTTGTTTTAATGGCTTTTGAAAGCTTATGCTATAAAAGCATTGAAATTATTTTATATTATACAACAAAAATCATTTCAAATCAATTTAGAGCACTAACTCTGATGTGATTTAATTGCCTCAAGAGTTAAATGCAAACCATTTTGTGTCTACTGTGCTGTGACTTGAAATTGATTTTCGCATAATTTTTAAATAATTTTTATAAATGTTTCACTCGTTTCGTATGTAATCGATAACACTATGTGTTTGTTTCGCACACTTTTAATCAATTTCTCATACATTTAAATCTCCATTAAGTCATATGTTTTCCAATATATCATATCATATGAAATGTTTGATTAAATTCATGAAAATTATCCCTTTTTAAGCCTTTGGTTGAGAATGAATTGGAAATAAAGTGTTTCTTTGCAGTCATTTCTCTCCATAAACTTCCTGAACATTAGTTATACACAAACACTATATAAATATATTATTATTAAACAATTTCATTACCAATTATTTACAGAATTAAATCTATATTTATTTTGAATGTATAAGTAGTGTGAGAT